GTTTCCGCGTACGAGATTTCTATACAAACTTGCGCAACCTTTAATATCAATAAATATTTTATTAACCGAGATAAAAAGAAAGCAAAGTTTCTTAATTAATACAGGGTCATTAGGTTCCTTGTAGAAATCCTTTTGAAAAGGGTGCGCAGCTTACACCCGGAAGCCTCGCACGATCCAAATTAGAGGAATCCGGGCCACGAACGACCCAGAAGTTATGCAATCTATTAACCCTCGACTGTATCAGAGTTTCGAAAATTATAAGGTGCCATCACCGGTTCTGATGATTTTTCGGTTCGAGGGCGCACTTGGCATCGGGTTACAAAATTATAATACGATCTGACCTCGACTTGGAACGGGACCAGTATAATATTCCTACGGTTTTTGAGGGAGACCCTTCAGGTCAGTCCTCGAGGATCCCACGAGACAGAGGGAATGTTTCTTCGATTAAAAAGATTACATAAGCCCGAGGAGGTTGCAAAGATCTTTTCGCGTAATTAATCGAACTCGTAATTCCTTGGAGGACAAATTATTCTCCCGGTGTCGACTACTTACATAATTGATTCAGCCCCTGGTAATAACTCGCAGCCGTTCCGCGATCTAGATAAGCGTGTTCTTTACGGACTAGATATGTGACATTCTCCGCGTGCCTCCGCTCGGTATTCCCAGTATTCTAGCCGCTTCGAGCCCTTAAGAAACTATTTCTGTTCTCGTGGATACTCGTTCGAGTATCGATCGCGATAACGCGTAGGCGTTCGATATAGTTTGCGGAATTTGCCGGTGAAAGTTTGAAATTGATATTTCCAAGAGTTCTATACCGATGGTGTTGATATTGGCATCGATTTCGAACGAGCCGATTACTCGATCGAACACAATACACACGAGGTAAACACGGGGTCTCACGATCGTCAAGTGTGCCGAACGAACGATCGTCGAGAGGTTAGTAGACGCGAGATCGTCTCTGCGTGTGCACGCACTAACGACCTATGTAAATGTTCTATCCGTTATCCTCGTCGCTTATCATTTTATCCTCGTCCGATTGCACGCGGAGGGAAAGAGGGAAATAAGGGAGCGAGAGGCGAAATCGAAGGGAGTTGGAGGATGGAAAAGGAGAGGAGAGAAGAGAGGGTCCAGCATTCCAGAGCCCGGTCTCGACCCGCGACCCTCGCCCCCTAAATCATCCACCGCAGCTAGGCCGCAATTCCGTTTTGTTTTCTCCGCTCTTCTCCTCCTTCCTTCTTTTTTTCTCCCTCTATTTTGTATTTTTCTGTTCTTCTTCATTTTCTTTTTTTTTCCATTTATTTCTCCCCCTTTTTCGACCTTTCCTACCAGACCACGGAGACAACCGCTCGACCCTTTCTTCTTCTTCTTCTTCTTCTTCTTCGTTGTCGTATTCTTTTACTTGCGCGCATCTCCGGACGAAGTTTGACGGTAAGGAACTGTGGGAAAACGTTCTGACACAGTTCGCGTTCACCTTTGACTCCGATGATAAGTAACACGAGGGCGTCGATCTTGATGAATAGACACTTTTAATCGATGGATGTTATTCGACGATGTAACAGAATATCAGATTTATCGCGGTACGTCTGAATTGAATTAACTAGTTCGATATCATCGATGCTGTTGTAACACTTGTTATATGGTCGATAGTTACAAGAAAGTAGAGTTGGAAATACATGCACGCGTCAAGGTTCGTGTAATTAACTAGATAACCAATTAGTCGTGTGAGGTCTATTTATAACATGTCCTCCACTATGTATTATCTACGTTAACTAGACTTTGAATTATTTTACAAACATCGAAGCCGTTTATTTTATTTCATCGGACATCTGCCCGGGCTTCGTATAAAGCATCTTTCATCTCATCGAGGTTTCCATATCAGCAGTACAAATTTCATTCAAAGAATCGGATCTATACTGAAACCTTTGTGTATGACGAAGAATGATGATTCATAGACAGAGATACCATATGGAAACATTGTATATAAATACATGTTTCTCTTCCTTGATCGTTGACAACATTTATGATAATAGGTGTTTCCTTAATTAGTATTCTGATAATCACGAAACTGCCAGAGTCTGAAATATTATTTCAAATGGCTAGCATAAAATTTGTCTAAGTCTCAAATGCACCCACGTTCTGAACGCTATATCAAGTCCCGTTCTAAACTCAGGGCACAAAACGAAACTCCGATTTCGGGGGCTTCGAGGCAGCAGCGGAGAGTCGAAAAAAATTCCCAAAAACCACGGATGCGTTTCTCGTGTTCCCTCGGTGTCGTAAACGATACGCCTATTCTTTCTCACCCCTAGGCGAGCGATAGTTTGAGAGTTGTCGCGCGAACAGGAACGCGATGATCATCCGGATATCTGGTGTCCCGGGCTATTGAGGAACCCGCGAAAGAAGCGCGCGTTCCGCATGCTTCGTCCTCTCCTTCCTTTACCGAAGGCAAGTGGAACACACGGTTACCGAGTTGTCCCCGAGCGACTCCCGGTGCTCCGTGGCCATTTAAACGGCACAAAAGTATAGTGTTACGGACACTCGATATTTTCTCGATGATCGTCATTGTGCCGCGGTCGTCTTTAGCGCCCGGCCATACGCATTATTCCAACGGGCTACCGTACCACCGGTGGCAACCATCCACCCAACGAATGATTTACCCCGTCTTCGGTTACCCGCTCCTCTCATTGTTCCCTCCTCCTGAAGAGAGGCCAGTCAACCTCTCCTGAGAAACTCTTTCCTCGGATACTAACTATTGCTTTGTTATTTCGTGGTTGAGATTGATTTTCATTTGACACGATTTCCCTTTGACTATTGGAGTAATTATACAGAAACGAAGATGAGCTTAATTGTTCCAAAATGTGAACTGCCCTTTTATGAAAAATTATTGAAAAAAGCAAATAAAACATGGCACATTCTAAAGAAAAATTCTAGCTGAATCTCCAATGATTTTAACCCTTTGAGTTGAAAATTTTCCATTTTTCTCTTATTATTATTTCAAAGTATAATTCCACTTCTCTTTGGATACACCGTAACAATTACGTGTCTGTTCGTTTCTGGAAAAGAGACTCATGCCGGAAACTGAGTGTTATTTTATCGGTCGACCACACGGCCAGGCTCGGTTACAATTTCCCCGGAAAGTGGATTAAATCGGGCCGCGAGGGCAAAGCGTAATCCGTTATCACGCGAGTTTTCTCGGTTGGCTGACGTAAATGCGTAGGTGCAGCGTGGAAACAACAGAGATCGAGGAACCAAGAGGAGTGGGAAAAAGAAATCAAACATTTCTGGTTATCCTCCGTCCGATGGGCCGTTCGACAAGAAAATAACTCCAACTTCCCTTCTCGTTCGGAGATGAACTTTTTCTTCTTTATCGTTCGGGCTGGCAAAAGAGCGGATTACGATCGAACGAATGCCGAAAATACTAGTAAACGCTGCTGAGTGACCGTGTGTTATTCTATTTGCGAAAAGGATCCACCATTCTCGTGGAAGTCTGTTCGACCATCGGCCGATTCCGATATTTTTCCACGACTGTTTAAGAAAGCGAGGAATTTGCTTTTTCGCACGCGTGCCGAAAAAATATCCCACTCGACCTCAATTAAAAATAACGATCCAGACGAGCGATCGGTTACAAATATTTTCCTAGCCAGACTAGCTTCTGCTCGAAAATCTGTCGACACTCGTTCCGGGGTTTAAATGGATTTCAAAGGGTTTGCTTCCTTTTCATTCTCTCGAAAGATTGATTGCTAACGTTTACTGTTACGACAGTTGGACTTTCATATGGGGTTTCGCGCTTTCAAATCCGAAGGGTGTTTCGACAAGAAGTAACTGATTTGAATTTACCAGCATCTCTAAAAATTGCGATAAAATAAACATTGTATCTGAAATTGATTATATTAAAATTCACGTATTTGTAAGGATCATAAGTAGACAAGTTTAAGTGGATTCAAAAGGGAATTTAATTAACGACCAACGCGTTGTGGAATATTTACAACTGGTAGCGACTCGTAAGAGCAGAAAAGCATCGACGGTGATAATTTTGAAAGCGAAAGAAAACGTTGATGGCCGAAGAATAAAGACCGGGGAGCTGAATGAACGTCTGGTGGAACGGTGAACGTGACAAACAGGTTTCTCATTAACGTTACAGCTTGACGAGAAGCCTTCGAAAGCGCGCGTCGCTAATTGTAAACTAACGCGACACGCGGCTACCAGCCTCGGGATTCCGTGGTAACCGGAAACGGTCAGGGGTAATTCGATGGAAAACGATGCGCGCCCATCGACGTTATTAGTCTTTTCATTGTTCACCCATCCACAACTACCGCAACGTTTAAGCGTTTGGCGAGCGTTATTAGAGCGAGCTTAATGAAAGCTACGATCAAAAATAAGATCACTTAAAATATTAAAGTAAAAGATATTTGAAGCGTGAAAATCCCAAGGGATCGTTATTTGTTCCCTTGACACATTGCCCTGGTACGAGTTAAAAATACAAATGCAGCATTTCCTACGTTTTTTTATAGTTAATACCTGAAAGATGCTGGTAGCGTGAAACATCGGAGAAGAAATTTTCTATGGGTGGATCAATCGATAATTGTATAGGGAGGATAGCGCGTGGCCTCGTTATTTTTTCAGCTGACTGAGCAGCGGAAAGGGTGCGGTTAATTAACCAGTTCTGTGTTTTCATGGAAGCCAATCAATCGTGGCGGTGTATGGAAAATTAGGAAACAACGCGACGTAGATTCCGCGAGTGTCGTCGTTTAAGATCGTCGCGTTGTTCGGCCGTCGCTTGTCCATTAAATTTGACGCGAGCTTTCGAACGATAGGGCTGGGTCAATCGCGACGTATCAATTAAATTTGGAAGCTTGAAAAGCTCTTCTCTGTAGCAAGAATACCTCCGAGTGCAAAGGGTTAATCATATCAATACTCGCTTCCGTGTTCGATCGGCACGAAGGATCGAGTTCATTAATGCCAAGTGGAACGTGATCTTGATTCTTTTGCTTTTACTTTCGCAGGATGATTAAAGTGGAGCGAGTTCTTTCCGATGGATATCAGCTGATCCAACTATATCGACTAACACGATCGTCTGGAGAGTAATCAAGCCATCATCGCGATGTTGCACACTGAAATCACTGGGATTATATGAAAGGAAGCTTAAGGTAAGTGTTAAATTATAATAAAGGTGTCGTTTATAATTAATTACCTACTCAAATTTTATACATGGAAAAAGTAGTATGTACAGAAATATTTACCTAAAGTGTAAAATATTTGGGCTCCATTGAATTCATACACTTTAAAGAAGTTGCACACAGAGAAATAGAGTCGTGAAGTTGAAACCGCGAACGAGATCATCGACAGGTTGAAGGTGTGTAATTCGCCGAGCTGACCATATGGTCGGGAATGGCAAAGACTTGGAACGGTTACGATGTTCTGAAAGAGTGCCAGCGGCTACGAGCTCCGCTCTACCCACTCTTGTAGCAGCTTCAAATCAGTTTCAAATAATATACGCGAGCCGGCCCTCGAGGGCCTCGCGGTACAGCAAACCGTAGATTTTCAACCATGAATCCTCCTTTAATGACCCTTCGAACTACCAATGCCTGGCTACCGTACCGGATGAACTTCTCTTTACAGATTCTTCGTTTGAACGACGATCCGCTGTTTCATTCCTTTTCCGCGTTGATCATTGCAAGATTTATAACTTAGAATATATGTAGGAATAATGATATATTTTATTTTTTTTGCAACAATTGATATTGAATTGAAATCGATCCGCGTTTTCGCAACAAACAACAGCTCTAAAGAAAGCATTTCCGGCATGCTGTATCTCTCGTTTCACGTTTCTCGTTCCGTTCTGTCAAAGATGAGAGAGCGAACGGTGTCGTGGCGATCGATGAAGGTGTAGGCGGTCGAATGACAAAGGCCCCCGGTATAAACAGGAACCTGAAGGGTGGTTTTTTATTGGTGGTTGCTTTTCGAGGTGCAGGCGCGCGAACCACTGTCTCCGTGCTTATCGACCCATGGGCTTATCCTCGAGCTTTTCCATGGCGTTTCCCGCGGTGACAATTCATATCGAGTTTCTTTTCACTTTCTTCCAATAGTCTTGTGAAAAAGTTGTTTCAACGAAATAATAGTTACTCAAGGAGTTAATTAGCATTCGACTGGTTCGTTAAGTAACTATATTTTGCTCTTATTAATTCTGTTGAATAAATTATGGTTCCCATTTTATTTATAGAATGTAACCTAGTGCACTTTATGAATATTAAAAGTGAAAATACTCGACATTTTTCAAACTTATTTATTAGCTTGTGACATTAGAATTCAGAGTAAAACCTTAGATTGTATTCAATTTTCCTTTTGATCGTTCGTTTGAATTAATTTCCCGGTCTCAAATACTTCATAAATATTCATATCGTAATTACCATAAAATCACGATCATTCTCGCCTGGAAAACAACTCGGAGTCTAACAGTTCGATGTAGATCCACATTTTACATAGTTGAATCAGGAAACACGATCGAAACGATCGAGACTGCCTTCGGTACACATCGAATCGTTTCGAAATCATGCTACTTAATTTTGTTAAAAGTTAAAAGCGTTCGATTATCGATCACCGTCGTCGCTCTGAAACGCAAGAATCGATTCTCAAGTGCTCGCTTCGCCGTCGCTTCGAGCGCGTTTCATCTCCGAATCGGACTTGCCGATCGTATCGGGAAGCGCGCGTTCGATCGATCTTTCGATCTGAAATATTTCAACGACTCGTCGTTGCGATAATCTCAGCGCACTCTTTCCTCTTCTTCTTCCGTCTTGTCATCGCTCGAAAATTGTTTTCACCGCGGAAGACATTAAAATTCAACTATCAAAAACTTCTAACTTCGCGCTTAGAATCTGGAGCTTTTATTTTTGAAAATTTCAAATTTTTATTTGTACAAAATTTTGTTAATCAATTGCCAATGGCTGATTTATAGCCGATGGTAAGGAAAGTTTTCAATCGTTCGGTTTCGTCATCGTGGAAGCCATTTACTCGCGCGACCCCTTTTTCTCGCCGCTTCTCGACACGCTCGCCCCTACTTAACGCTTATTCCACGACAACCCCCGTCCGTCGTCGACTCATCCCGTATCATCCCCTTATTCTACGCGTCTCTTCTAACCCTCCGTAAATCCTGACCAATGGCACCCAAGCCAGGGGGAAACCATTGTCGATCCGACCAATCGTCGCCGTTCGTACCGTGCACATGCGAGATCGTCTCCGATGTGTTACAACGCTATTCTCTCTTTTTTTTCTTCTTCTCCTCCCTTGTCTGTTCCGAGCCTCATCCTTCTTGCTCCGACGCATCGAGAGGAGAGGGGCGTCTCTTTATAATGCATATCAATTTATGCCTAATGGCTAACACCGTTCTACCGGGTCGCATCTGCGGATTAACGGGAACGTTTTTTATCCCTCATGGTTTTTAACGCACCCCCGTACGATCATTGTACCGTTTATGATGGGGAAATCGAGGATGTTTCAAGCAGTTGATTGTCGATGATTTAGCGGTGTTCGAAGCAGACTGCGTCTGTGATAGTTTAATTATTTCTATTCTCTTCTTAAGAAAATTTCTGCTTTCCATGTTTATTTATTGGACAAACATTTCAGGTATTTATAATATGTCAGATGTGAATAACTCGGAAAGATCGATGAAACGTGGCGTTTGTCCAGGAAGTTTGTTACGTAACACCGGTGAATTCGCGCGAGCCAAAATATTTGTCCGAGCATTCGCGATAAAAACAAAGAATTCCGGTCGAATCGCTATTGTCCGTCGCGGTAGAAGGATGAAAGAGTTGTAGGGGAGAGGCAATAAAGGGGCATCGTGAACGTACACGCGCGTGAACGGGGAACGAACGTAGACAAAGCGTGAAGCGGTGCGTGGAGCGTTTTTTGAAAATGCCAATTTATTCCGAAAGGGGTTGCAAGAGGGCCTAGCTCGTTCACCGACACGCAGTTAAATGAATTTTAATTGATTTCTCTCCCTTCGAAGCCTACCTCGACGCCTCTGCTATCAAACGAAATTTCCTGATACTTTACCTTTCAATACACTAATCAATGATAAATATATTTATTAATAACACTTGTAAAAGCGACAAGGTTTTATCAGTGATTAATGCAAAGGAAACTAGAGTTTGTCTAATCAACGAGGGAAAGAAAGAATCGTTTCTTATTTCCAAAGGAAAACAGAATTTCATCGCGCGATGCGTTGTCCCTGATACAAGGGGTGTTTGATGATGCGCGCGTTGCATCCGTGGGACCGGAAGTACCGTGGAATCCGGCTGCAGCGTTTAAACACACGATCAACAGGGATATGATACCGCGTTTCCGAGCTTCTTAATTGAATTCTCACTCGGCGAGATTGCATAGATCATTACTACCCGTGAAGCATGATTTTGAGGAAATTTCACGCTGCAACACGGTAATCGAAGAACCAAAACCTTCCAAAATATTACATAAATTTTCATTATTTTCTGAATGAAAAATTGCTAAGAATATTATTCAGAGCAGACTGAGAAATAAATAAATACCCTTGCTACGTTGCTAAAGCTAGTGCAAGCGTGCAACGATGGACCAGCGACAGATGTAGACATTAATCAATTTATGCGTCCCTACCGTTTTACCAGACGACTCTAAACCCTGCGAAATTCTGCGCGATACAGTTGGAAACGGGGAGAGAAATTGAAGAAGTAACGAGCCACGTTTCTCCCCGCGGCGGACAATAAAACTACAAGGTGAAATTAGTAGTGACTGTCCGGAAAGGAATCTCGGTAACAGTAACCGGGTCGAGAGATCTGGCTGGGTTGGACGACTGGCGTCTATCCGTCGGGACCCGACCAATGAGACGGCTCGTTCGTTCATGTGGAAGCATGTAAATACATTGTCCACGAGGACGCGGGCATAAAACGGCACGATATATGGCCCGGTAATTTCTTAATTGCGCCCCGAAAAATTCTTGTCATCGTAAACAGCCGGTTGATTATATTGAAACGGCTCGAGGCGCCGGGGGCGTTTCGTGGATAAAACGAGCTGGACCAAAACCAGAAAGGACACGGACCAACAGCGGGGAAGAGGGAGAAAGGGGAAAAAAAGGCGACGGTAACTGCCCACCCCGCGTTTATTTATGCATCTCTAGCAACCCTTAGCTCGCTGGAAATCGGACGATTTCGCTGAAGATTATTGCTTTTCTTTGTTCGCCCCCTCTCCTACGGTATAGACGAGCATTCTTGAATCAAACGATCGGTCTTCCTGGTTTAATGGCCAAATTTCTGGTCCGTAACTACTTCGAGAACGTTTCGACCAGATTTCTCTGGACATTAAAGCCGCGTCGTTCGTGGAAACGAGCGTGGCTGATTTCGATCAACCGGTGACAGAGTTCAAGATGGGAATTCGAGATGGGTCGTGACACAGTTGTTCGAGAGAAGTTATCGCGAGATAACGAATAATTTCAAGTTCGGATATCTCACCCCTAAAATTCGATGGGTGTTTCATAAAACTAGCGATTAACAAGGTTTCTACTCACCGGTATGCGTTCTCTTGTGGATCTTGAGGTTCTCGGACCTGGCGAAAACTTTGCCGCATCCAGGGAACGGACAAGGGAAGGGTTTCTCGCCGGTGTGCACCCTTATGTGATTGACGAGCTTGTACTTGGCCTTGAAGGCCCTGCCGTTACGCGCACATCCCTGCCAGAAGCACGCGTGCGTCGTGCACTCGGGCCCGCCCACGTGTTCGACCGTGAGGTGCGTCACGATATCGTGGAGGGAGTTGAAGAGTTTGCCGCACAGCTTCCTTCCGGGTCCCGGCGCGTCCTGGTCTACCCACATGCAGGACATCTCTTGACGTTGACCGCCGGGTACACCGGCGGTACCGCCACCGCCGCTTCCGTTGCTCCTCATGTACCTTAAGAAAGCACCGTGAGGATGATGGCTCGGGTGACTGACGGCCGGGTGTTGTTGATGATGAATCGACGCAGGGGTCAGGTGCGGTGCGCCCAAGTACTGGTGATGAGGGGGCAGCCTCGAGTCCTGCGGATAGTGTCCGGGATAGTGACTGGCCGCGAGGGGATGTTGGCTCGGATGATGAGGAAATTGTTGCATTGTCGCGGCGGTGCCGTCGTGATGCAACGGAGTAAATAGTCCTAGACCGCTTTCGGGGGTGGTCGGATTCGCGGTCGCGTTGAACTCGTGCTCTCTGCGTAGCAGGAAGTCGCGAGCCGCGTAACCGGGGTGATGGCTCATATGGTGACCCATGTGCGGCGCCATGTGGGAAGCCGGATGGGGATGATGAGGCGGATAGCCCTGGGGATGAAAGTGATGATGCTGCTGTGACGGAGCTTCGCCCGGCGCGGGTTGCACACCAGCCCCCGTGTCCGTGGATCCTCCCGTGGCTCCACCACCGCCCGGCGACAGTTTGATGCCGAGATTGGCCAGGTGGTGAGGGTGCGAGGACACGCCGTCCAGGAAAGCGTTCATCATCGTGATCGACGGGAGGTTATCGGTTAAATGTTTATCAGTTGAGGATCTGAGACGGGTTCATGTCTCGCTGAGGAGCTACATGAGAGCTGTTTTCTCGCTCTCGTTCGAATTTTCTTTCTAATTATCGTTCACTGAGCTATCCACTGGAAAGAGTACACTGAGTCTATGCTGATACACTCGAGTTCACTGTTCCGTTGTTCGCGATCCTTGCACAGTTCATCTGTTCGTACGATTTCCTTGATCGGCGACACTCGATAGATCCACTTCGTTCGAGGAACGACTATCGTTGCTCCGAATGATCGTTACACGCGCGTTCGCGCTCCGAAACTCAGACAACACTCGACGAATCCGATAGTCTGTTCGCGTTTGAAACAATACCCTGGGAGTCCCCTAGGACGTTTCTTCCCCCCGGTTTCACCCTTCTGACTGTCTATCGCGTGTGTAGCTGACAAGCACCTACGGTTCGATGTCTTAGCCACTTTGACGATGACGCTAACGCTGAACGCTGACGCTGACGATGACGAGCACGACTCGCGTCAACGTTTCCAACGCACCGAACAGGGAGGGTGAAACATCCGTGGTGTTCCTTGCTGCGTTCACAGCGGGACTGAGAGTCAGCACTGGGCTCCCGCCGAGGAGCAACTCGGCCGATTTCGGCGTTTACGAACCTGCCCTCTCTCTTTGTCCCGTCCATCCCTTCTTCCCTCTCTCTCGATCTTAGTTACTCCCCTCCTGTCGTCACCACGACCTTCTCTCTTCTCTCTCTCGCACTTCAACATCTGGAACGACCGCTCGGCTAACCTCGTGCGTCCTCGGCCGACTCGTTAGCTGGAAACACCCTCTACCCCCACTGAAGGTCGCCCAGTGCAGCGCGGTTGCAACCAAACGCTCCACCAGTGGCGGACGTTCCCTGGTGGATACCAGCGTTCCATTGGCGACGATGGCACCACTGCCAATTGGAGACCCACCGGTTGCCCAGGCCTCTCACCAATCTGACCAGTTTTCATGGGCGGGATACGCGGCAGAGCGCATGTCGCGACTCCGCCTTTGCATATACGCCTATCCTCGGAGGATGGCCACAGAAGCGTCGCGACGTCGACGCTCGACGATCTTGCGCCTCGTCGGGGGGAACTTGGCACCAGTTTCTCTATATACGTCGTCAATTTTCCATCGTTTCGCAGTATTTCTCGATGGATTTTGAGTCGAGAGGGTAGTTTTTGAACATGACTAGTAATACTAATATGGAACTCTAAAGTATATCTCGATAATTATCTACATTTTATTTCTATTTTGAGACACTTAATTAGACCTGTTAGACACTTATTATTTTTTACTTTATTTGCGCAGATATCACGTATAGAATTTTTTAACTCTAGATTATTTTAACGTATCCTGAGGCATGTAACAATGTAAAGTGTCTTGACTCCATACTGCGCGAAACGTCAACACCGCGTTTCACTAATATCAAGGATAATTTATTTCAATAACCATTTCATAGCATAAAATCGATACATTATGGCACTAATTAGAATGTCATTATAATATCAATATAAAGTCGTCTTCATAATCAGCGCGTCTATGCTCGTATCTCGACCCATTCGTTACCGATGATCATAACATTTTCGTAGAAGTATCGTAATACCCGTCGATCATGATTTATCGCGCTTTTCCCGTGTCGTACGACGTGCCGTCAATGACTAGAACGAGTCTAAAGGAAAAGTTGAACGATTCCGATAGAAAGTCAAGCCTGTTCGTACGACACGAGCTCGAGTACGCGATTAGCGGAAAAATATCGAGCCGGTCGGAAAGATGGCGAGTCACGCGAACCGCTCGTTTATAAATAACCGCAATGAAACGAGGTGGAAATTTCTCGGTTGACGTTTAACCCCTTTCCGTTGGAATCTAAAAGTGTGTACACGCGTAATCACGCGACCGTTCGTTTACCTATCCAATTAACCGAGTTTACTCGCCTTGCGAGCTCGATTAATTACCGGAGACACTCGGCACCGGCTGCGTCTTCGCGCTTCCGCGTACGAACGCTCGCGGATCGTGGCAAGAGGACGCGGAAGCAAGCGGAGCGTATCCCGCCAAGGAAATTAAATACTACGATATTTCAGCGTCAAAATGACTCGAGGCGAGGTGAGCTCGCGTTCACCTTTCTCAGATATTTTTCACTTCTCGGCATCGTGAAGAGAACGAATAAATCCGTAAGACGTTAATTGCATTTCGATCGTTACACTTGGAATTACACTTGTTGGCAGGTGTCATCCGAGTTTTTATTTGCTGTCAAAAAGACATTGGTACACCGAGTAAAGTAATTGCGAGGATTCCTCTCGGAAGGGTTAATTAGTGGGTTCCCGTCAATATTGAAAATTGGTCTTAATCCTTAAGACCTGGCGGTTGTACGAACCGACGTAGGCCAATAAGCAAATGGCCTTACAACCTGCGAATGCCATATAAACCCTTTCGGGAAAGCCGGTTTTTCCTGGGGCTGTGTTTCATCGAATCAATTGGACAAATGAATTGCACCACGGGATACCTTGACCCCGTGCTCGTCGTCGAGGACAATAGGTACTTACAATTTGTTCTGAATTTTTTCTTCTACGAAACAGGAAAGTGGTTTTGATATATGTTCATTTATAAATATTTATCGTCGTTCAGCTTTCATTTTATAGACGAATAACGATCCTTTGAACTGGTTATCCCTGCGAATTACCCTTTCCATCGTAACGCTGTTTTTACAGCATTGTCTTGGCGTCAATAAAGATAGGATTACTAGGGCATTGATCATTTCGCTACCTGCTTTCGTGGATCGCCTTTTACTTTTACCTGCCTCGACAGGTTATTTACAGAACCGATGCTAGTGAGACCCAATAATCGGTTGACAAGGAAATGAAAACCCAACGCGTCCAATGAAAATGAATGTGGTCGAAGTGAATGCCGTTTGCGGAAATGAACCATTCAATAACCATTCCTGTGTTTATTACATCCCGCTCGTAGTACAGTTCAAACAAGTGGGATTTAAATTTATTTTCAACGTGTTGATTATCGTATCGCAAACACAGGAAATTAAGTTCAATAATTAAAGTTAATTAACCGGATAGGAAACAGTGACCGATACAAAATTCTTGTTACCGTTTGTTTTATCGCATAGAACGTTCTGTGTTCCTCTTTCAAAGGCTGCCAGTCGATATATTAACGGAGCTTAATCTTCCCGGTGAATAATGCGAACGCATCGAGTGTTTAACGGGGGTGCCTCATTGTCACGGGAAAAAATGGCGTCCCATTATGTCCGTAATGGGCACGGTGGCTGACTATTTGATATTAATAACTATCATAAAGCCGGACTCGTGGCTCCTTCGTGCACTTACGAGGCCAACGTCTGAATGATGCTTTCCATCCACCTTCTGTCGCTTACTAACAGCACGAGACGACGCGAGTCGTCCCGCATAAGCGACCACGTGCATTCGCGCCGATCGTTCCTTCCTTCGAGACGGTGCAGCAGGTATTTTCGACCAAATTTAGCCAGCATTTTTATATCCTCTGACGGACGCGATCTGTCGTTTTCGCGGTTCCGTTTTTTTACGGGCAGACGCCTTTGGTTGACTTTGATGTCGCGTCATTTTTTCACCCGCTGGAATTTAGTTACGATTAATCGGGTATAATTATTTAAAGGAGTAGAATTAATCTTTCGTAAAACCGGGTTCACTCTCGAATCCTCCCGGGAATATTCGCGTATTTAGCAAAAATACAATCCCACGGAACTAGCAACTGGATCCCACGCAAAAATAACGCAACGATCGCCTAACAACCCGCATGGGTGAACGTGTTTTCGCACAGCCATTAATCTAAAAGTCTGCGATAGAAGTTTCATCGCGGGAGTGCGGTTGCAAGCTCGCGAAATACCGTATGCACCTACGCGCTCGTTGCCGGAGCCATCAACAAGCCAGACATTGTTTCGTTCGTTCATCAGTCACGCTCTCCGCGGTCATTACATTTAATTAATCGTTAATTGTAAGATCGAGGGGGAAGAGAATCGCTCGATTCGTTGCATTGTCACGGTCAATGCCGTGTTTCCATTCTATTCAGAAAGTTTTTCTAATATCGCCAGTTATGTGTCTGGTTTCTTCATCGAAACTGGTTAACTACTGAATTCTTTAGAGTCGTGTTTACTTCAGGTACAAATTTACGAGTTAATAATGTTCCTGCCAATTGTTCTTGGAATTTTACCTTTCATGGACTGGTCTATTGTTCGTTTTACAATTGGAGGGAGAGGTGATGGAGGGTCGTTAATACGTTGGAAATATTCTTGAATGCTCGCTGTACTTAAGAAGGTTGATAACCAGAAATTTACGAGTTTCTATAGAAACTAAAGTTAGTTTATGCTCTGCACTTGGTCACTTGTACTAGTTAATCTAACTTGTAGGTAAACGTTTTTCTATTGTTTGCAACCAACCAATTTATCCTTACAATGGATCGAATGAAGAAGAAATATTCTCTTATTGAAAAGCTAGATACTTTCAAATTATAAAAGTAATTCCATTCTGAAGGAAGGATGATTCGGTTAGAGCTCATAAAACAAGACTAGAGAAGATACTCATCTGTTTCTCGGTGTGTGAACACACGAAAACACAGGTTACCCGTGGCCACCGGTGTCTCTGCGCGAAAACCCACATAATTGGAAATGTTCACGGAATTTACGGGGCCACTAAAGTCCTGTTACGATCCGTTTAGAACAAGGAGTTTTCACTCGTTGGAACAGGCTCGTAGGATGGAGCAAAGGGGACCGACACGCAAAAGTTTGTCGATCCCGTGGTCAGATGGAACGACAAGGGAAAGAAGAGGAACCGATCCGAGCGCTAGATCTTGTCTCGAAGTCATTAGGAACATGACGATCTCTGTCGGTCGGTCGGTCTCAATAGTCCTGAGTTCCCGAGACGCTTCGATTTCTCTTTCTGGCGACTTCTTCAGCTTTCTTACCTGCCGTCGCAGGTGCAAAACGCGATAACAGAAGTTTTGATCTTGTATTTTTAAACATTTTCTGTTTACCCTTCCTCCACGACTATTAGGCTCACTAATTTTATTAAAGATAAAGGAATAATTTTGAATGGAGTTAGTATAATATTGATAGTGCGAAGCATCGGATTGGAAATTGATTCAGAATCACAGAAATGCATGAACATGATAAATACGTAACTGAAAACAAGTCGCTGGTCAAAAATGGAAGGTTCAAAGCAAAATCCGACCAAAAATGACAGAGTAGCGGGCGGCTCGAGGTGGCTGAAAGATAAGATTTCTACTAGCGATGCAAGCTGAGATAAGGGAAGATAGGTATCTATGAGAAGGATCGCCGACAAAAATATTAGGGAACGTCCGTGGCCCTTCAAACGGTTCACGAACGGGTCTCCGTGGAAAATGAAAAATCTTCGGAATATGATAATAAAATTTATTTATCTTTTTTCCCTCTCGACCGTGCGCCGAGCTGCTCATTTTCGGCTTGAATAGCCGTGAAGAAGAGCCAGTCTGCGAGCGTACCGCGTTGGGAACAATGAAATATCTTCTCTCATTTTCCTGGAACACAGAAGAAGAATCGATGATATTTTAGAGAAAACATTTGTCGTGGTTCGTGGACCTTCGATGATCGTTTTTCCGCATTCG